ATGCTAATGCGAATAGACGCAATTTTTCCTTGTGTAATGTTTTACTCCCCTTATACTATTTTTTTACTTCCCTCACACCGGATTGAAACGAAAATTAGCCTCACTATGGTCGATTGATCCTACATCGGAAACACAGCAAACGTCACTTTTACGCAACCCTCAGAGCATCTCTGTAACATCCCATCCATTCGAAGATCAGCACGTGCTTTTCATTTCGCCGAATTAATTTTCTAATTCTTTCATTCCAGCGATTATCCCATTTCGTAATTCGGCTCGCTTCTCCTTTTCGATCGATTTTCCTGACTTTGCCACTTGTCTAGGAAACATATTATGGTTTCTGGATGTAAATTCGTTGAGCACGTTTGCTAGTACATAATAGTAATTCGTGAATTAAAAAATTGGTGACATTGGAAAGGAAATGTAATTATTGAAAAGAAGTAGGTTTAGAACGTATGAAGTAGAGAAAAACAGTCCGTACCTATGGATTTTCGCACATCCTTTGATCTACAAGGCCTGCTCTATCAGCTTTGGTGGATTGGATGTTCACAGAAAAGGTCAAGGAATGTGTAAAAATCAGTTCAAGGCCAATGAGCTGCTAGCGTATGGCTAAATTCAAAAAATGCCGCATTTGAAAAGCAAAGGAAGACCGAAAAAATCCCAAAATAGTTCTAAATTGGCGCCATTGTTTCAACTTTTTTGCTGGTCGAGCATCGCTCAGCCGCAGGAGTCGTATGCATGGGTGATTGCCGCGAATGCATGGGAGCGTTTTCCGATTGTCAGTTGTCAAAATATTAGTCTCTGGGTTTTCTGTCTTGCAATGACCTCTGTCGTACTATTCGCATTTTGGAAACTGTACAAAGAATTTACACGAGAACAAAGAATGGTGGAAGAACAGACTGACTGATATCCTTCGAAACAGCTGGCTTTCAGAATAACAAGTGGCCCGAACTATGGTGGTTTGCGCAGTAGGGAAATGCTACTCTATTAAATCAAGGACATGCGTTCATCGGTAGAATTTAAAATTCTAAGATGTTTGTGGATATTTCTGTCAGGCTCCATAAGGGGACCGCTTGCCAGGGAAGGGACGAAAGATTGTCAAGGGTGAGCTATATGGTTTCTAACAGGAACCTGCCCTTCCATTATTATTCTTTTCGGAATTTAGACAGCTGTTACAGCTCGGGTCGAATCTCGCCCAAACCATGCAATTCCTTCGGGGTCAATTTTTTGGCTCCGTATTCTTGTAGGTGGACAGAAAGCAACTACGACTCTGAGTGGCGCTGAAATACACGTAAAATCCGTAAAAGGACTGATGACTGCGCTCCACATTTTTATTAGCAAGGTTGCAAAGGTGGTGTAATGGCGAGTGTCGTCGCTTGTTCTGTGCACGTTTAAATATTCAATCTCAGATGGTAGTGTGTTGACAAGTCCAAGATGTCTGGGGCCTGCTGCACACGGCCCCAGCATCTTGGACTTG